ATCATCTGTGCTCCTCATCTGTACTCCCATAGATCCTTACAGACTGTGACCACTTTCAGCCCCAGTGCTTCATCATATGGGGACCTGACTCAGTGCTTGGCATGCACTGCTCAACGAGATCATTCCCTTTGAAAAAATTTACTGAGTTCTCATCACACACTGGACACTGTTTTAAATGGTGATAATAAGTTTGGTGGACAAATAGGCATGATCCCATCCAAGTAGGGTTTCTAGTTTAGAGAAAATTATAATAGAAAAAACTACAATAAATAAACAGCAAGTATTTTTTAAACTTAGCTGTATTTCCTGTGCAATCTTTATTAATCCCATAAGCAACTGCTTCGTGTCAAATTGCTAGTTTTCTGAACTATTAGTACTTGATTGACAGATAATAAATATTATTAAAAATTATAATAGTGATCTAATATCTAATGTATTCCCCTTTTATAGTTTTTAGTAAAGACTAAAGACTAATGAAAGGCTAGAGATATATGGTGCATATGATTATGTGTAAGTGTACACATAATCTGAGGTTTCTATTCTGAGGTTTCTAGAGAAATATAAGGGAACTGGGAAAGATGAATAGACCACGAGAGGACACAGAAACACCCTGCTGAGTTAAACAAAGTGCTGAGCTGTAGTTGAGGGGAGAGTCTTCTGTTGTCTCTTGTGTAAACTTCCCTGGTAGTCTTGGAAGTGTTTGATGTCTTGCAACATCATTGTTTTTCAGTAGTGGCCTGGACTCCTCAGGCCTGGACCCCTCAGTTGGGTTTGCAATTGCCTTATCAAGCAAGCTGAACACAAGGTAGCCACTCAGTTCTATTGCAAATGAGAACAGCATTACTTTATAAAAAGGGGAAAGAGAGGCAACCTCTAGTGCTACTTTAGATTAGTTGTAATTGATGATGAAAATATACATGAAATGCTCCCTTAGGAATGAAATACATTAGGACCTGCTCAATAATGTTACTCTTCCTAGCATGTCTCCTTAATATAATGGGATCATTTACTTTTACCATTTATCTTACCTGAAAGCATCTCAGTGTGCTTACTCAAAACCATATTGTTAAAAAGGCTGAGATAAACTGTGTGGGCAGATGGTGATTTACACATGCAAGCCATAATCAGCCTGAGAATCACTCCAAGCAACCTGCTGACATCTCCAGGGTGACGAAGGACTCAAGTGGTCTTTTTCTGAGTTCCTTTGTCTTGTGCAAGTCAAAAGGTTCCGAGATGTGATCAGCTTGTCTATTCCTGATGACTGTTAATGAAAACTTGGACTTGGGAACCGCCAGGACCTCTTTACAGTCCTTTCCTGGTCCCCTGGTCCTTTCCATTCTGGCCTAACAAATAGTGTTGGTAGCGTTTCCTGACTTCCGTCCCAGTTAAAGCTTTTCCAAGAAATTCAAACACTGGGTCCTCTGTCATTCTTCCAACTCCATTCTACACCACAGCCAAAGTTTTTTGCTCAGAACACAATTTCTTTAAACACAAGAAATCAAAAAACCTGTGTTGTAGGCAGAGGTAATGGAGAATATACTTAGATACAACTTTAAGAATATTTCAAAGAAGATCAAATAAGAGAAGAGATTTCAGACAAGTAAATGATGAGTGCTAATGTTGTTTGTGTCCCTAGGATGTACCAGGTATTGTACTAAACATATTATTGTTTCTTTTAATATTCCAAAATATCTATAGGGTAGATTTTTCTATTACTCCCACTGTATTCCTGTGGAAAGAGATTCAGAGACACCAAGTAACGGGGGTAAGTGAATGAGCAGTGTTGAATTTAAGAACTTTGAGTATTGTTCGTATTAACCCTAAAATCAGAAATATTTCAATATTGTAGATAACCTATTACGAGAATGTCTTGAAATTCTTATGTAATGTTTATTAGCCCTATGATGGTGTCTGAGAAAAAAGGGAGAGAGAATATTCTTTGCAAAAATACATTGAAGTCACTGATTTTTAGAAAATGGTCCTCAACATTCATCCTACATGTCTACTTGTTAGCATCTTGGGGGTACTGACAGAAGCTGACCTACTTGCTTATTGTGTTCCCTACAACTTGACAGGTTCATCTGAGTCTGCAGAAGACTAGATGGCCTGGGGGGGCTAAGATGGTGCCCCCAACCAGTTACCCACTTTGAAGATACATTGCCTAGAGGGTGGTATCGTCATAGTGTTGAGTCATGGCCCATTAGGAGATAGCATTGCTCAAGAATTTATTACAGAAATAGAGTTCAACCACCAATCAAGAAATTCTCAGGACATTTTTTAATATGAGCATTTCTGAAACATTTATTATGGGTCACAAGTACTAAGAACTTTATGAACATCTCATTTTCTTTATGTAAAATCTCTAAAGTCTGTATTTTATTATTATTGCCATTTACAGATTAAAAAATAATTGACCTTAAAGACGTTCAAGAATCTGCCTGAAAATTACTTTCATGAGTATCAGAGCCTAGAAATAAACCCAAATCTATGTATCCACAAAGCATGCAGGTTTTTTGAAAAATTATAATTACAAATAATTATGGGGTACACTGATTTTATGATATATATGTGTAATGTGGGGTGAGTGACTCCAGTTAATTAACATATCCATCACCTTAGTCATCATCTATTTATTCTGTCTCACTTTGTACCCTTTGACCACTATCCTGCTATTATAAGCAGCTAAATTAGATAGAAATAAATATATAGTCAGAGAGGGATTGGATTCTCAAGGAAGTCAGCAGAAAAAATAAAGACATCAGAATTGTGGTTGGAGTTACATCTGAAGAAGGCCAGGCCTAAGATAAAAATGCAATGACCTAGCTTACATGCCTCCTTATAGGATAAACAGCAACTTGAGATAATATTGTAATTAGCACCACCTTGTTCAGTAGGTTCAGCTGGCATCAGTTGCCCGGCTGGGTGAGTGACCAGAACATCCGGACCCGTCTCTTCCCCAAAATGCCTTTGTTCTTTCCACATACCCTTGTACGTGATTTGTTTCCCTCTTGAATCAGCATTACCTAAGTGGCTGTATTTGTAATCATCTAGGTTGATGGCAGTTGTGACTTTGCTGTATAAATTATTCTGGACAAAGAGCTTTCAGTGGCAACTCATTTTCAGGACCCCTCTTTTCATGAGCTTTCCCTTAATAAATCTTTCCCTCTCTTAATCTCCATTGTCCCTTGAAGTTCATTCTTTGATATTTAGGGGACACAAACTTGGTACCTAGCAGGTTGGGAATTACAGTTCTCTTATATAACTGCCAAACCTAACTACTTTAACAACCATTATATTATCCACTTCTATAAATTTTTCCATATAACTCTGATGCATGCTAAGATTTGGTGACTACTTTTATAGTATTAAAGAAAGTAGTAATTGGATCCTTTAGTTGTACAGTGTCCCCATGCTAGGGGATTACTAAAAGAGAGGACAGATGTACAGATGTTGGCTAGCATGGAAACAAAGAGAGGAAGGGTGTTCAGATACTGAATAGCTAGATAAGTAAGTAAGAAAGAAAACAAAAGAAGCAGATATCTATAATATAGTTTTCTACAATTCTCAATTTCAGTAAGACTAGGAATTTATTAAATATCATAAAGACAATGCATAATAGATAATCACAGCTACTAAATAATATTAGGACAATTCAACTACTTCACTACATCCCACATTTTACTCCTCTCCTATCACTAGTAAATACTTGATATCCATTTCAATTTGATCCACAAGCACAGGACTTCACATATTAAAATCAGACAAAAATTACCTTTGATTACTTGGGTTATTTTAATATCACTTACTGATTAAAGCTTTGTGTGTGGCACAAATAAATATGGAGAGCAGCTTTTCCAGGCAGCTGATTCTGTAGAGGTTATAGAATTACCACAAAAATATTTCATTTTGATTTAAAGGATATCTTGGAATACCAAATGGTCCCATCTGAATTCATTAATCTCCAAGTATATGAGGTCATTTACACAAATTTGTCTACTTTGGTGCACAACAAATCACCTTCCAGCTTCCAAATACCAATATTATTATCCTTTTTGTTATTAGGGAATATTTGTTGGATCCTTGCCATGGGCTAGGCACCATTCTGAGTCCTTTGCATGTATTAATGCCCCAGTACTTTTTAAGAATGTAAAGGGATCCTAAGATTAAATGTCTGAGAACTGCTGTTTTAGAGTTGATCTTAAACACTCATTATTCCCACAAACAGTGGTACCACATGGCATCACAAGGCCAGAGGGTTCTCACAAGTCTCTGCCGCCGCTGAACCATCTCAAAATGACCACTACTTAATGGCAAGGGGGCACTTCTGGGAGGGAAGACCCATTCTAAACATCTTGGCTGTTCTGTAGAAGCTGCTGGAATTAGTAAAAATTTTGCCATTCTTAAATAAAATACTCTTAAGTGAAATAAATCAGACATACATGTGTAAATACCATACTTTGTCTCAGGTGCAAGAAACCAAAAATGTAAATAAGAACCAAAATGTATAATAAGACATTGTGAAACAGGAAGAAGTTGTTCAGAAGGAAAGGGGAACTAGGGAGGGAGGTGGGGGGAAGGAAGAAAGAGAAAAGAAAAATGAGAAAAGAAAGATAAAATGGAAACACAGCTTTGTAATTAAGAAGGGGAAGAGGTATTGAAGGGAAGAGAAGGGAATGGGGAAAATAAAGGAACTAAGATATGTCACATACACGTACAAATTCTCTTTGATGAATGTGATCATCATGTATATCTACATTGTATCAGTAAACTTAATAACTAAAAAAACAAAGTTAAAAAAGAGAAACGAAATATAGTAATGGTGGCAATGGTTATGTGTTGCTATATTTTAAAAGACCACCTGAAATCAGCCCCAAACCAATGAGTTACTCAATTCCAGCAAGACCAATGAGTACGTCTCCTCCCTGTTCTGTGTGGTGCTCACTGGGGAGCACTCCTGAGTTTGGGAACAGTACAGCACACTCACATGACTGGTAGGTTACCTGGTTGGTGGTTCTTTTCAACATGAGCCTACTTGCTGAGTGGCTTGTGTTTCCTCACAGCATGGTGGCTGAGGCTGACAACAAAGAAACAGAAATTGGAAACTGCTCAGCGACACACTGTAACACTTTCTCTCTGTTCTGTTGTTCAGAAAGTCACAGAACCCAGATTGAAGGCAAAATGATGTGGACTTCACTTCCTGAAAGGAGGCGTGTCAAATAACTCTAGGCCCCATGTTTTGAAATCAAGAGTGATGTGGTTTGAATTACCATTTCTCTTAACATTAGTGGAGATGAACAACTTTTTACAAATCTGGAGTTCATTGGCATTGTACAGGCTATTCATATTCTTTGCTTATATTTTCCTGTTTGTTTAACAGAAGTATACCATCCAAGGCCATTGCTACAAGTAGTAAAAAGAGAAGCCAATGCCACAGCTGATAAAAAGAATTTACTAGTAGTCAAGAAGTACAGAAAAGTCCAGAGTTTATTTATACACTGCAAGAGAAGAGCAGGCCAGTTCCAAGAAGAGAGTGCACCGACAGAGAGAAAAGCAGGAAACTTGATATTTGATTTTTTTAAGCCAGTCAAATTTAGCATGAGGGGGGTTGTATACCAACTTTAGTGACACTAATGTTAATAAGTTCTGATAACCCACTGCCATCGGACCAGCCAATATTTGATTTTGATGTGAAGGGGTGGTCTGTCTGGAAACATCATCCCAGGAGCATCTTAATCAGGTCCTGGTGGTTCCATTGTCAAAAAGTCCCATGAATTCAATCCACCTGCAAGTTATTTGCTAAAATAGAGGGTATTAGCACATTAATTAAACATTCCATGTAACTTGCATATTAATGGCTCATATATGTAATTCAGTATTTAGCTTATAAGTGTCAATGAATTATTCTGTATTTTTACATTATATTTGTATTTCTTGGGGACAGTAATAACCTAGTCTATTTATATAAAATATAATTTTCATCTACATAGAAAGGAGAATCTTGTCTCCTTATTTCAGAGGCAACAGCAGGAGTTACTGCTCTCTTCTTAAGTCTTGTAGTGCTCAGCGTTTTGTCTTAGAAAGTATTACAATAGATGAGAAAATTGGGCTATGGGAGGTTTAGTGGCTTTCTCTGGGACATGTGGCCAAGCTGATTAACTCCACATTCATGGCACATTCCTTCTTAGGTCTCATAGTTTAGTATTGGAGAAAAACACATGAGATAAATGCAAAAAAATAGTGATAATGAAAACAGTAACAAAGGGTCTAACCAGATGAAAATAGATGACATGATCTTGAAGAAGGAAAAGTGTACAAGAGAATTTGTTCTTTTTAAAATTTTGTCCTTTTGAAACTGCCTAGCTCTGTAACCGCCTTGTGGCTTTGTCCTGTCTTGGCTCTTGTACCCACAAGTGCTTAACCAAACATACAAGATACCTGATTGCACCATTGTACCAAGCTTCATGAACAGATGGTTGTAACTAGTGATTCACTCTGCTAGCCAATCAAATCTACCAGGCTCTTCTGTCTTGCCTTTGTACCTCCTGCGTTGTGTCATATAAAAGTCATAGACCACCAGAGACTGGGGCCAGATATCCTGGTAATGATCTTGATCACTGCCTGTTGACATGCATAAATCTGCCTTCAAATCCTGGGTGTCCTTTTCTGTGTTTCTGCTTGCTGTTGCATCTGGTGTGTTGGCCAGGAAAACCGACTGTGCTGACCACTTTGGTCATTGGTCATGGACCTTGCAGATGAAGCAAGGACTTCTCCAGGTCCAGACAGGAGAATGTGGAGAGGAAGATGTCTAAAAGGAATCAATAAGTGCTATGTACATGTACCAACTTGCCATAACAAATATAATCAATATATACTGCAAACATGAACCAATAAAATAAATACTTAAATACTCTCCCTCTCCCCAAAAAACAGCTATTAGAATAGGGCCAAAGGGAAGAAATAATTTGGAAAAATTGCTCCATCAAGAATGTTACTTTTGTGAAATTTGTGTAAAAAGTAAAGCATCCAGTCAAAGAGTAACTGGAGAGTAGTGAGTGGGTCCTCCAGAAACCTGGGACCCTGAGGAAGAAGCACGCTGCCTCTGGGCGGACTTTGACCAATGTTCCAAGGAGCCTCTGCGGCCAGGATGTCTAGAATGAAATACACCCCTGTCCACATACACATCATCTAGGCAGTAGTCTAAATCAGCCAGAACTACATAGTGAGACACTGTCTCAAAAAAAAAAAATTAAATAAATTTAAGAGCTAGGAGTTTAGATCAGCCACACAAGTGCCTGCTTGGCAAGTGCAAGGTTGTGAGCTCAATCCCCGGTACCAAAAAAATAAAAAATAAAGTAAAAAGAAATACATTTTAAAAAGAAAAAAATTAAGAAGGTATATAAATGGCCAACAGGTATGTGAAAAAATGCTAACCATCCAAAAAATGTAAATTAATACTACAATGATAATTACTCTACACCTGTTAGAATGGCTAGAGTCACAAAAGAAGAAAGAAAACAAGGATTGGTGATAATATAGAGTACAGGAGGCCTCTGCACACTGGTGAAGTGGATGAAACTTAGTACACCTGTCAGGAAAAACAAGATGAGGCTTTCTCAAAAATTACAAATAGGATTTACACATGATCCAGCAAACCCATTATTGGATACACATCCAAAGAAGATGAAGCCTTACGTCAAGATGTTTGCACTCCATATTCATTGTAGTATTTTCACAAGAAACAAGTATCCCTCCATGGATGGAAGAGTACGACAATGGTTGTGTATACAAAGGACACCATTTTCCTCCAAAAAAGAAGGAAATCTTAGAATGAGCCTGAGAAACATTCTGTTAAGTGAAATAATCCAGGCACAGAGGACAAACAATAGATGCTTTCACTTAAAAGAGGAGTCCAAAAATTTGATCTCAGAAGCGAGAATAGAATGGCTGTTATCACTGCCTGGGTCAACAGTAAGAAGTGGAAGAGCTTGGGGAGATGTTAGAAAAAGGATACAGAATTTCAGTGAAGCAAAGTAAGTGCAAGAGCCCTACTGTACCTCACCGTGGTTATGTGTACTGTAATGGTGAAAATTTCTAAGGATAGCTTTTAAGTAGTCTCACCACAGAAAGTATTTGAGGGGCCAGGGGTACAGCTCAGCAGTGCAGTGCCTGCCTCGCAAGTGCGAGGTCCTGAGTTTGATTCCTGATAAACCACTCCCCCCACCAAAAAAAGGAAGAAAGTATTTGATGATATGTCAGCTAGTTTGACTTAGTCACACCATAATGTATCCATATTTTAAAATAATATGTTGTACACAATCAATATATGTCATTTTTGGCAATTAAAATATGTTTAATTTGCTTTCCTGATTCTCATTTTTTAATATAATAGCCAGACTGGATCTAAATTATGTTTATGCTTTTGTAACTACTGTTTTCATAAATGGTATCAAGATAGAATGAAATAAACCATACCTACACAGCAAAAACTGTAATTCACCACTGTTGGGGACTGAACGGCGTGAAGATGGCCCTTCTCCTTAAAGAGTTAGTCCAGTTGATATCAGTCTTTAGTTAAGCAAAACATTTCATTTTAAAACTTTTTGATCATTTGTTCCATAGAATTTACTCTTTTAAAATATTTCAGCAAGCTATAAGCCTGTTCTCCATGTTAATCCTTTTAAGCATTTGAGAGGTTGCCCGAGCATGTCTTGACATTAAAAACTCATTAAATTACAGATATTCTGGAACCAGTTTCTAAGAGGAAAGAAAAGGGGGAAAAAAGGAAGGGATGGAGAGAAGGAAGGGGAAGGAGAAAGACAGGGAAGGAGGGAGGGAAGGAGATGACTAACGGATAGAAAGGGAGAAAGAATAGTAGGTTAGCCAACTACTAATCCTGTAGAATGCTTTGGCTCTTTACTCTTTGTTTATTTTCTAATATCTTTTGAGAATATGGGAGCACAGTTAAAGTCCATGATTTCCAGATATCTCCTTAGAATAATGACTCATCATAGAGAGCTCAATTTTATTCATACATGATAAGGAAACATGTTATGTTCACAGCAGCAAAATGGACAGGGTGCCTTTTCCAGGAGGGAGGAATGACGTTTTCAGCCTCGGTCACAGCTGCTGTCTGCCCAGCACACTGACGGGGAACACAGAGCAACGACAGGAACGGGATTGCCTTTCTGGGTGACATTTTCAGGCAAGAGGTCATTCTGGGGAGATGCAGAAATGACAAAAGGGATCAAATATGTTAGCTTCCTGGTTAGATTTTTCAGTCACCTTGTTGGATGAGTAGATCATACTGAGTATTTTGTTTATTATCCAATTAGAGGAAGAAAACAAAAATGCTCCTTAACCAACAGAGGCAGATATAACGTTTTCAAACCCCTCTTTTGGAAGAATACATTGAGAAAAAGAAGCTCTTAAAGTCACTGGCAGAAAAAAGTAAAATATGTAATTTTCAGGTTATAAAGTCTCAGCTTTGATGGGTAGATTGGATATTATAATTTTATTTCACTGAAAGAATTTTAGTTCTTGCCCATCAAGGTATAGAAAGCTGAGTGTAGGAAATAAATAATTTTTTAAAAATTAGTTTGACTTTAATCCTGTATCTAAAATGTTACCACTTGAATTTGCCCTTGGTAGGCCACAGGCAGAAAGTCAACAGTGGATAGCAGAATTTTACTAGTTACTTTTGTACTTTTGAGATTGGGCTATTTTTATTTATGTTTTGCATTTATATTTAAATAAGTAAATATCCACGGTTCAACACTGACTGGCTTTCCATGCATGAATAGGACAATGCATAATCTGAGTGTCAATTTTACTCTCTCATTAATATGAAGGGATGATTTTGGTAATTTTTAGTAGCTTAGGAATTAGTTCCATGATTTAAATTAATGATTTTCCTCTACTAATGATTTATATTATTTTTAATATTTACTTCTCTTTATGAGAAAGTCTTTGTCTTCAAGTGACTGTTATTCAATGATGCTTAATATTAGGAAATTATTTTCCTAAGAGTCTCCTAACTAATTTATGACCTCTTCTAGTTTACATCACTGAACCACA